GGTCTCTCTTCGCCGCGTCCCAGCCTCTTCGTGAGTGCCGAGTGTGCGGTCTCTCTTCGCCGCGTCCCAGCCTCTATCAAGCTGACAGCATTCTCGACCAGCGGCTGCTAGCGGCGATGGTGGGATGCAGTGTTGTTTTCTTACAACTGGCAGATAAGTTCACCGGTACAGTGTGGGAACAATAGGTAAATGGCGCAAGGGCGCGTAATGTTTTGTGAACGCTGCCGATGAAGTGAAAGTTCAAGGCCAAACCTCTGTAAATTTGTCTTCGCGCACGAAAACCCCAAACTGAGTGCGTTTTCCTCAGATAAACAAACACCGCACGCAAGCCTTCGGCAAACGCCTGTTACCCACCCCCATTCCCTGTTACTCGGCGGTGGTGACGTCTGGAGGAGGGGGAGGGGGAGGGGGAGGGAGGGCGCCTGTCACTCGGCGTGACAGTCCGTCAACGGGACGGCGGCGCCCACCGCCAGGTCACCGAAATCCGAGCCTGGGTCAGCGTGGGTCAGCGAAACCCGATCCTGGGTCAGGGGGCGGGGTCGGCCGCCGCCAGTCAGCGTCGCCCCCCGCTGGCCAAGGGGGGGGGAGGCGAGGGGTAGAGCTGGCCGTGGTGGCGCATAATGGCCGCCCACCGGCCCCAGATGCGGCGCGAGAACGTCACGCGCCCCTCGCCGTCGGGCGGCAAATTTGTCCGGCGCGCCGGCCGCGACCGTCGGCCGGCTGGCCGCGCAGTCTCAGCTGGGGTTTGCGCAGGCGAAGGTCGGTTTGGTCGGGTAGGATGCGTGAGCCGCACATCACGGGCGCATCCCCCGGTGGGAGTGTTTTACAAGCGAAACTTAAGAGGGAGGATGTTAATAGTGGCAACAGTCGACACAAACAAATGCAAAGGTTTTGGAGTCTTAAGCTATTGAATTACAAGTGGTCCACTACACAATGGCTTAGGGCCATCGTGATTTTCTCCAGCTTGAAAGAGATGTGGTACGCAATGATTAAACGCGACATTGGCCTGAATGAAGGGTGCACTGGGTCAAACATTCCGTGATAATTGATCTATTGCACGTGCAGCTAGTATCCACACCATCAATTATTCATGTTGATGGCCACTGTGTGCTGGGCCCGTCACCCATATTGCTTTATCTTATTCAGCTGATCCACGACGTTTACGTAGGAACACATGACAATGTTTGTGGATCTTGAACATCAAAGAAGTAACAAGCCGACCTTTCAAGTGTCCGAAGGCAAATTCAACTAACAGAAGCTACCTCGTGGACTGCGTACCATTGACCTTAGTTAAAGAAGATACATGGTGGTGCATGATAGACTCAGGCAGGCGCTATCTAATGTGTCCGCGCACCAGCGCGGTGCCGGCGGGCCGGCCTGGTCCCCCGCTTTGGCCTCGGCCGACAGATGCGGCGCGCAGGGCCGGCGGCGACGCGCCGCTCTGCTGAACCAGCGGGCGGCGCGCCGATTCTGCCTCCTCAGCGGCGGCGGCGGCGCGCTGCAGATGCGAGAGCCGTGTCGCGCGGCGCCGCCGCGTTTGGGCGCGGCGTCTGCCGCCCCGGCCGCCGGCCGCGCCGGATGGCCGGCGCCACGGCGTCAGGTGCCGCGCCGACGCCGCCGGGAAGCAGCCTTCAGCAGCGAGACAAACCCGCCGCCCCTGCGACGCGCTGATTAATGATTGGAGATGATTCACGAGCCAACTGACGGCGCTAAGCAGCTGGCGCCGCGGCGAAAATCCCTTTTATCCGAGATTAGATGGTGTAAAAATTCTGCGGAGCGGCCGCTGTTTGCTGGGAGATGAGGGCACTGGCGCGGCTCGCCGCTCCGCAGCACGCGGCGACGGCTGTCGGTTGTCAGCATCGGGCGCGACGCGTCGCCTGCGCTGCATCGCTCGTGCTTCCTCCTCGTCCGCTCTTACAGCGACTCACTGCAGAGGCGCGGGCGAGTTGTGCTGGATTCGCGTGTTGAGTTTCGCCTCAACCGCGGCGGCGACCGCTGAGCGATGGCGCCACACCCGGAAAGACATCGGAAATGGAGGGGGGGGGGGGGGGGCTACCTCCCCGAAAACGGCCGGTCTAACGGACCATTAGCAGGCGGCCAGCGCGCCGGGGAGCGGGACCTTTCTGCTAATCTGGGCCGCCACGCTACCCGCCCGGCCGCTCGTTACATTGTTTCCGGCGCGGCAACTGAGCGGTGAATGGAGGTGATAAACGACTCCATGTGTGCCATCTTGAGATTCGTTTGAAGTGGCGAGCCGGACGGGCGCGAAGTCGCTGCGGTGCGTCGGGAGATTAAAATAGCTATTAACTGGCTATCGAATGTCGGGAGCTATTACGCTGCCGTCAGCCTCTTGCAGACCAGCAGCTCTTGCAGGCGTTCATCGCCCAACGTTTGTTCGACTTCCGTCCAGCTCGCAATCCGCTCCACGTGACCAGCTCATCGAATGAGTAAATCGCCGTGCCCTCCGGCCCTACCCGCCTTCGTGGAGCGCTAGGTATTTATTGCTCACGCGTAATCAAATGCCGCCTCTGGTTTCCTCTCCCCCGAAAAGCCGTCACCCACTCCCTGTGTTGGTTATTTAGAGGCCGCTGTACTTCATATGCGAAACAATATGCACCGGCGTTAACCCTCCCCCCCCCCATTCAAACATAAAACATCGGGAGAAAGCTGTCCCTTCAACTCGCGCTTTTATTGGCATGAGGGTATGGGCGTAGGAGAGGTCCAGAATGCCGGAAACATGGTCAATCTTCGGTCGACAGCCTTCGGTCTATACGGACGCTTCGAAGGTGAGTGTGGCCTGAAATCACAGCAACACGCCATGCATAGCACAATGATATTAATGCAATACATCAGATCGCTACAAACACTGGCTGATTGGTCCAAGGCACCAAGGGGAGTGGGGGGGGGGGGGGGGGAAGAGTGAGGGGAGGAAGCGGAGCCAGAGTTGTGTCGAGTGGCTGCCAGTTATCCTCCAGCAGTCGGTCACCGAGCCACTCTGGCCGGTCCCTGAGCCGCAGCTGGGGACTGCGCTTCGGCCGTCTCCAGTTGCGGCAGGCGCGCGGCCCTGGAAGGCCGCGAGCCTGCCACTGCCAACTGGGGCACGCCTCTGTCCTTATGACGGGCCATAAACCGCAGGTGCTGTACTGGAGGGGAGGGCGAGCACGTGCCGAGAGGCCCGCCGCAGCGCCGGCCCCGGGCCGGGCGCAGCGCGCGGCAGCGGGAGAGCGGCAGGGCTGAGCTGGGCACCACACCGCGCCCGTGTAGCCTGTGGCTTCGGGTGCCCACTGGAACTGGCGTGTGTGTTAACATTCTTCTGCTCGGAATGACGGCAGATTGCGCTAGAAGTCGATAATTTATACAGACGGCGCTGTATCCGCATCACGAGTGCAGTGCTCATCCAGCGCCGTATTTCCATTTGGATGTGTATGCGTATATGTACATATATATATATATATATATATATATATATACATATATTATGTGTAAATATATCAGTACAAACCGGCCGATGTATACACACCTCATCTATACGGATGCCCACTGCTGCTATAGGCAAATAATTTGCTTACGGAGACCTCAGGTGAAACTTAAGTCCAAGAAGTTAGACATGCAAGCGCACTTAATGAGTCATTTCTTGACATACAACACCACGTTCGATATTTGGAGGTGTTGGGGATGCTGCTGAATCCCACTGAACCGTTTTATTTCACCTATGACAGATGTGCACAGGAGAAGTGAGCGTGAGTGGTGAGCAGCTGTATCTACAGTAATGAAGCTACCGGGATGCTTTAGTCTCAGCACGATTTCCATTTATGCCCGAGCGATGGTCGGCGGCGACGTAGCGAGAGGCTGCTGGGCGCTGTTCTGCCCTTCTGTGAGTGTGATTGGATCAGAGGGCTACTGGGCGCTGTTCTGCCCCTCTGTGAGTGTGATTGGATCAGAGGGCTTCTGGGCGCTGTTCTGCCCCTCTGTGAGTGGGATTTGATCAGAGGCCTGCTGGGCGCTGTTCTGCCCCTCTGTGGGTTTGATTGGATCAGAGGGCTGCTGGGCGCTGTTCTGCCCCTCTGTGAGTGCGATTTGATCGGAGGTGACGGGCGTGTTTTATGAAGACCTACCGAATGCAAAAACACTGCCCAGTTTTTGTATCGCTCCGCATGCGACTACGATGAGTGACGGAGCGTGCTCTCATGGTCTTGAACATCTGGGCTGTCTGCAAAAACAACTCGTCAATCATCATCGAGTAATGCTCCTGTAGGATAGCAGATTCAACCGTTATCCTTTATACACGAAGGATTTAACGCCTCGCTGTCAGACCTTTCAGATATTTATGGTCTGCTAGTCACGGGCCGATATTTTTCTTTCCATTCTCCTGCTTCTGGACGACACTATGCGTGGTTTTCGGGAAGAAATGTCAGCGAAGTGTACGTCACCTTCCGCGTGGCTACGCTATAGCGCGTCCTCGCCGAGTTTTGTTCACATTTCGCATATTCGGTGGTACAAAGCACGAAGAGAGCCCACATCTGCAGCTAAAAAGCTATCGCGGTTGACTTCGATCTTGGAGAGCTGAGCGCGTGGTCTGTCCGTCACGCACGCTTTACAGCGACCACACCGTCCGCACTGGCCGTACCGCCATTACCGGCACCCGAGGCCGCCACGGCTTCGTCACGATAAATAACAAAAATGCGCACCACATGTCCGGGCCCGCTGCACTTGTTTGTATTCGGCGGCGCTGCACCCTTCCCCGGCGGCGGGCCCGTCGCGACGGCCCTCTTCCCCTCCCCTCCCCCAGCGGCAACCTGTCGAAGGGGCCACTTGTTCCAGGAGCCGTTCGTCGCCGTCGTCGGCGGGCTGCGTCGCGGCTGCTGATTGGCCGTTGTCTGAGAGTCGGGCGCTGATTGGTCCGCGGTGTGGTGACCGTCAGGCGCGGACCGCCGGTCGCGCGGCGTACGAATCGCGTGGTGGTGCAGCCCGCCAGCCTGCCAGTCTTGCGCCTCGGACGTAAAAACGCGCGGCCCGGTAGCCGCCAGTGCGCCTGGCTGGGCAGCTCCGATTTCCCGCAATTGTGGCTTCTTGAAACTCAATCTCCTGTTTAGGCATCGTTCTCATAGTGGTTGCACGCGCAAAAAGTGGTGCCTGCCGGCGGTGTCTGTGTGTGTGGGGGGCCTGGCGGTGGCTCGCCGGCAAGGCGGCCCAGTGGTCGGCAATGAGTGGACTCGGAGGTCTGGCTGACACCGGGTCCCGCGACCTAGTGTCCGCCTTGAGTCCATAGCTGTGACTCCTGAGTCCTGCCAGTGGGAGAGGTGCCAGAAGCGGCTCCGTTCCGATAAGTAACCTCCCGAACGCAGAAGTGCTTCCGTGCCCAAGAGACGTGACTCGGTGCGCGAAGCGGCGTCGAGGCCGAGCAGTGAGGTCGGAGTCAATCGGTGCCCCCCGAGGCGGCCGGGAGGTGAGCCGCGAGTCGAGCCGTGACTCCCGCGACTCGGCGGCCGGCGCGCCGGGAGCCGGGAGCCGGGGGGATGACGTCCATGGTGACCCACGCCATGACCCAGATGACCCGGTACGAGGAGGCCCACCAGGAGGCGGTCATGATGGACCACCAGGTAAATGTCATGGGCCGCCCTCGCTGCAGTGCTCCACTGACGCTGCGACATTCACAGAGTTTTCAGTCATTTGTTACTATCATTTGTGCACGAGTCCTCCCGATCACCCGTCCCCGCGGCGATGGCTTGTGACTCCGGTAATGCGGCTCGGTTAGTCTGTGCGATGCGATGCTGTTGGCGGTAGGGGAAAACAGCCGTTGCATGCTTTTAGCTCAAGTGGTTCAGGCCTCAAGCATAGCTCTTACTCAACGTCAAGGTTAGTGTTAACTTACCCCGGCGCTCTTTCGACTCTCTTAACACCATGTTTTATGACTGTGACATCACCATTTCAGGAAAATTAGAAAGCGTCACTGTGTTTTTGTGCATATTTTATTCCTTAGGTTTATTCAACTGAGTTTTTAACAATATCACAACATCAAGAAGCAGCAGTTCCATTACAAATGGAGCACAAAAAGGATTTGATGTGCACCAACATTGGTCGCTCGCGGTATAACATCCGGTAGCGCCATGCTTGGGGCTCGTGTCACCGACGGTCGCTCGCGGTATGAAATCTGGCAGCGCCATAGTCGGCTCGTGTCACCGACGGTCGCTCGCGGTATGAAATCTGGCAGCGCTATACTCGGCTCGTGTCACCGACGGTCGCTCACGGTATGAAATCTGGCAGCGCCATACTCGGCTCGTGTCACCGACGGTCGCTCGCGGTATGATGTCTGGCACCGCCATACTCGGCTCGTGTCACCGACGGTCGCTCACAGTATGATGTCTGGCAGCGCCATACTCGGCTCGTGCCACCGACAGGCCCATGCGATCGGGTCTCTTCGCCTGCCGATCAGTATTGAGTTCAGTGTGCCGACCGGGCCAGGCACCGGCTTTACACGGCGTCGGCTCTGTCGGGATCTGCTCCCCTCCTGGGCTTGACCACGGCGTCCGCTCTGTCAGGGACGAGGATCTGCTTCCCTCCTGGGCTTGACCACGGCGTCGGGTCTGTCGGGCACGAGGATCTGCTTCCCTATTGGGTCGGATCACGGCGTCCGCTCTGTCAAGGACGAGGATCTGCTCCCCTCCTGAGCCTGATCTCGGCGTCGGGTCCGTCGGGCACGAGGGTCCGTTCCCCTACTGGGTCGGATCACGGCGTCCGCTCTGTCAGGCACGAGGGTCTGCTCCCCTCCTGGTCCTGGTCACGACGTCGGGTCTGTCGGGCACGAGGATCTGCTCCCCTATTGGGTCGGATCGTGACGTCGGCCCTGTCAGGCACGAGGATCTGCTCCCCTCCTGAGCCTGATCACGGCGACGGGTCTGTCAGGCACGAGGATCTGCTCCGTGTGACACTAGGGTTTGCTCCCCAAGAATAATGGTGAGATTGGAGTGCTTTCGCGAATTGGCAGCTTTGGAAAGTCAGTGCAATTCGATGCAACAGCCAATGCGGTATTCTTGGCAGATAAGGATGGCTCTCGGCTGGCAGGCTCATGTTGAGCGTGACGCCATCAGTGATCATGTTTGCGAACTCACTGCTGTACTTAGTTATGCTCACACCTGCGTTGGCTTTATTCAGAGACAAAGTAGGCTATCGAACGTTATACCTTCCGCTTGATGCACTTAAGAAACGCTTTGAATCTTTCTTCTTTAGCCTTTTCGGTAAAATGAACGGGAAGTTTTATGCCTACGATAATCGGCCTTCTAAATTGTTTGTCTGTCATGCCAATACTAGTTCAATCATTTCGACCATAGTAACTACCAACACTTAAGATAAAAGGTCGGCATACACAGAAGTTATCTCTGGGAAGCATCCCTCAATATGACGCCCGTCTCATTACTGCGAAAAAGCACAGAGGCGTGAATGGATCGCCACCGTCTTCTGGGCTGCATGGCCCGTGCGCTCGGATGTTCGCTGACGTCTGACAGCGTGCGCTTGGTTCCAGGCCGCACATTGCAGCTCTTCCTCGAACGGATGTTTATGCCGCCGCCCGGCCAGAAATGTTATATTTTGCGTCAATTGCGCACGTCACACTCCATGTTAGCTTGGCGTCACCGCAGACCAGCGTCGACTCTTGCGCCGACTCTTGCGCGGCGCGATCGGAGGCCCATCGACCCATCGGGCCGCTCGGAACCAGCGATTCGGGACCCGATTTGAGGGCCCAAAGGCCCCGAAAGACATGCCGGAGGTCGCATTGAGGGGCCCAGACCGGAGGGCCGGGTACTCCAATGCCAGCCAGAGGGCCCTGTGCGCTGATCAGCCCCCCCCCCCCCCTGAGTCGATAATGGCCGATATGTTGGTCCGACACCACCAATAACTCAATGTCGGCTCCGTGGTGGCATGGCCTTAAGGGTCCATTTCCCAGGTAGGAACAAAGCCAGAGCTAACGATTTACATTGGTTGGCGTGTTGTCAGGGCTCCACAGCCACTGACCCTGTGACCCTGTGTTGGTAAGCGGTCCCGAGTCGGCCAGTGGCAGTGTTCGAGGAGGCCCGAAGAGCCTAAATGGCCCACTGGGTCCGACGATCAAGGGGCCGATTGAGGGTCTAGTGGCGCGAGGGACTTGTCGGAGTCTTATTTAGGAGCCCGTCCTGCGGGGTGGGTCCTCAAATAACTTTCAGAGGGCCCTTTGCGCCGATCTGGGACCCCCTGGGTAGATACGGGCCTATATGTCCGTCAGGCACCACCAGTACCACATAGTGGTCTCCGTGTCCGTATGGGCATGAGGGCCCACTTCCCAAGCAGTGACAAAGCCGGAGCCAATGATTTCCATTGGTCGGGGCCTTGTATCTGCCAGGGGCTCACAGCGCCTAACAGAGGGCCCTGTGCTCGCAAGGGCCCCGAGCTGACCAAGGGATGTGTTTGACGGAGCCCGAAGAGTGACCCGGGCGGCCTGCCGGGACCGACGATCAAAGGCCCAGTTGGAGGGCGTAAGGGCCCGGAGGACTGGCTGTTGGTCACACGAACAATCGTAGCCCGTAGGTTCGTGACCAGAAATGTTGGTCAGAGGTCCTCTTGCATCGTTTGAGGACCACCTGAAACAATATAGGTGTCTTAGTCGGTCAGAGACCACGTACACCGAACAGTCGGTGCCATGCCCGCCCGAGCCCTTAGACCTATTTTCCAAGCAGGAACGAGGCCGGGGCCAGCGATTCGCAGTGTTTGGGGAAATTTCTGGGGGCAAATGGCCACGAGTCGGATCGTTGTTTGAGGGGACCTAAAAAGGGGCCGAAGAGTCTCCCGATATCAAATAAGAAGGGCCCGATTGTAACGCTGAAGGATCGGAAGTCCTGACTGTAGGTCACATTTAGGACTCCCGTCCATAGTGCCGTGATCTCAAACGTCAGTGCGAGAACATCTTGCACTAATATGGACGCTGAGGCAGAACATTTCTCTATGTCGGCCTGAGATCACCAACAACTAACAGTCGGCTCCGTGTTTGTCTGAGCTCTGGGGGCCCCATTTTCCAAGCAAGGACAAAGCCGGGCCCGCAATTTTCATTGGTCGAGGCTCCTGTATCGCTCCTGTATCATTCAGGGGCCGCAGTGCATAGCAGGATATTATGTGTCAACAAGGGGCTCGAATCGTTCAGGGTAAGATTTGCTCAACAGGGAGGGGGACGGGAACCCGAATGACAGAGGACCTCTTGCGTTGGTCGGGCCTTCTGACAGTGAAAGAAAACATGAAAATTTATGGTGAGTGTTCACAATGAGGCAATGGAAGGGTCCTGTGCCAGTCAGAATGGCCCCCAGTACCGAACGGCGGGCCATCCAATCCAATCCTAGCATGGAACCGCTAAGCCAAACTTAAGCATACGCCAATTATTGAACCACCTGCGGCGATCAGGAATATTGTTGCGTCAATAATGGTTCCTGCATCGGTCGGGGGCCAACCGCGCGGATCAGAAGACCTCCCGCGCCAGGGAGTGGACCAATGTGATATGGTGTATCCTTCTGAGGACCTCGGGATCGGCCAGGGGATCCCAGCCTGTGTCCCCAGAATGACGGCCGTATCCTTCTGAGGACCTCGGGATCGGCCAGGGGATCCCACCCCGTATCGCCAGAATGACGGCCGTATCCTTCTGAGGACCTCGGGATCGGCCAGGGGATCCCACCAGAATGTCGCCAGAATGACGGCCGGAAGACACACCGTGATGGTACAGAATCGCCTTCAGCCCTTGACCGGGAGCAATCATGTGCCTCCTAGTGTTCTTCTCAAGGTGACCTTTCCTTTCCCGAGAAGAAATAAGGGGTCTCATTAGTGCTGAATCAAGTAGGTCAAAATGAGTTCAGAAACGCACAGGGCTATCCCATGTTTTCCTGAGAACGCTCAGATTTAGCAGAATTAACTATTGGAACATAAACCATCAAATTATTTGAGCCTACACGCCGGGTGTCAGTAGTATAGTGGTCAACGAGCCTGCGTTAACCGTTGCGCGTCTGGGAAACCACAGGTACAAAATTATATTTCTCGAGGTGCCTGCCCGCTCTACCATGATGAGAAGCAGGCAACGCCGTGTAGCTTAAGCAACTGAGTCGTAAAGCCCCATGGGCACGCCGGCAATGTCGGGTAGCAAGGGCAGCAATGATCCGGGTCGCAGTTTCCGTAAATCCAAACGGCGTTGACCATTGCAAGTAACGACAAGCAACAGGCGCCGTGCGCGTAACGACTATCGTTAAATGATGTCTCTGGATGTCTCAAGATTAATCTGTACAGCCTGAGTTATTGCAGCCTGATCCGTACAGCCTGAGAGAGTATTAGACTGAGTGAATCTTTCTTACATCTTTGAGGATGTTTTCTGAGGAGTAACAGCAACACGGAAGAATAGAATACTTCGCTTACTGTGCCAGTTCCACCACCAGGTTCCCGCACTACGTCGCGGTGCTGTAAAAGCCAAACCGTTGTTAGCATCAGTAAAAAAAATTATCACAGGTAAACTATGCGCGCGATATATTTCTAAATGTACGGTTTTATGTCCTAAAGCGTTTAAAGGCGATTCTTTCAAATGCGTCGTCATTTTCGTCTA